TCCTCTTGTTACAAGGTCACACCCCTCTCCGAGAACTGCTGCTCCACCTCCTTGTGCACCATGGGGCATAAAAGACTTGCTGAAGAAGGACGGGAGGTTTTTTGATGATGGGAGGCTTTTGGATGAAGGGGGGCTTTTTGGGTGGGGGAGGCTTTTTGATGGGGGGTTTTTGGCTGAAGGGAAATTGCTGGAGGGAGATTGCTGAAGGGGGAAAATGAATTGCTGGCTGAAGGGAGGACTGTTGAAGGGAAAAGAATTGCTGAAGGAGAATTGCTAAAGGGGAATTGCTAGCAAGTCTGAGGGCCAAGATTTTAAGAGAGAACATGGGACAGTGCAAGTCTGGGGGCAAAGACTTTAAGAGAGATTATGCTAGAGAAAAGCTAAGAGAAAACATGGGACAGAGCGAGTCTTAGGAAAGAGACTTTAAAGAACAGAAAAGAAGACTTTAGGAGCAAGGTTTTAAGGAAAGACTTTAGAAGCAAGGTTTTAAAGAATTGTAAAGGAGTAAGGCCTTAAAGAAAAGATAGAGAAAGGAAGCAGAGTAAAGAGAAGAGATTAATAGAGATAAAAACCAATGAAGCTGTTGTGAGTCTCCACCCAAGTACCTGGCCCCAACTTTCTGTCTGTCCATCTATCCTGTGTCCTTTCTGCATCTCCCATCACCCACATTAGGCCCAGTTAGGTTCAGTAGTAATAAGGGAGCAAGAGAAAGCTTACTTCACAGAGCATTTTTAAGCAAATTGAGTGTCCTTGCCAGGCCTGAAACAAGCAGGTCTATGGACAGCACTTTTCTAACAGCTCAGCTCAGAAGATTGGTCACCAACATCATATAATATTTTGTAATATTGTAAAATTATGTGCATTTTTAGACACAGTGGTACTGCACACTTAATAGACAGTGGGGCAAATGTAATTTTTATGTACACTGGGAAACCACACATTTTGTGGGCTCACTTTATGGCAGTGGTGCAGAACTGAACCCACAGCTCCAAGGAATGCCTATTTTAAACATTGGTTCGTGTTTTATCCAGCTCCGATAGGAGAGGAAAGCAGATTCCTGGGGCTCCTTCCTGCCCTAAAGCTGCAGTTCTTGTTCAGTAGCTTCTTGAGAACATACCTGGCATTGTTGACTTGATATTCAGTGCAGGATTTAACTATATTCCTTTAAAAAGTGTTGAAGGTTTTTTTCTATCTTGCAGTTAACTTATTTGAAGATCGGTGTGATTTTTTGAGTCTTGTTTAAGGGGTGTGTGTGTGTGTGTGTCCTGAAGTTTTCTTTATCCCAGGGTTAGTTTTGTTCCACTCTTAAGACATGACTTAATCACGCCAATCATCAGTCTGTCATCTGTCAGCTCCGATCCACCATTCTTTGCTGGCTGTGCTATGCTGAAGCTTTAAGCATTTCTCTGGGTAATGGGTACAGTATTAACGAGTGCCAGAGGGCAAGTCCGGGAGGAAGCAGTGTGGTTCTGGCCCTCTTTGTTTCCTCCTGCTTGGTTGAGCACTGTGGTGGTTCTCTGCCTGCCCTGATACCCACCTAGATGTGGCCATCAGGATGTGGACACCCCGTGCCCAGTTGTCCTTTCTTCCTCAGCCCTAGGGCACGCTCTGGAGTCTTTTTGCTCCTTTATAGGTACTCCCCTATTGTAGTTAGAAATTCCTGTCCATGGCGTGGGTGGCTTGTGCCTCCTGAGCACACTGTACTTGATCTGCTGCCTGCTTTGGTGTTACTGAGGGCTTCATTTGCTCACTGAGCTCTTCCTGCTCTGGCTTGATGGGGTGGGGGGTCACCCCTTGCAGGTGAGCTCCAGGATCACTTTGCTTGCGGGCTCTTGCCTGGCCTGTGGCAGTTTCACTTGCTCACCTAAGATTTGTCTTCAGCCAGAGACCCAAGATCTGTCATGCCTGATTTCTGGACCTTTCTCTGTGTAGCTTCCTTCTCTTGGGTCCTCTTGTCCTGCAATTTCTAGCTGCTTCCCTCCCCAAACTGCTTTGTGTCTTCAGACTCTGTTTATGCTCTGCTCCAACTGTGGCTTGGACATTGCTTTCAGGCAATGAAACTCATTGCCAGAAAATGGCAATGAACTCACTTCCTCCTTCTTTCAATGACTGCAACCCCCACTGCACAGCCCGCCCCCCCCACATCATCCATCATCTGAAAACACTTCCTCCATTGATTTTTGCAGTTTTCTATTTGTTTATGGTAGGAAGACTAAGCCATAGCAGCTACTTGTAGGACTCAATTCCACTTTTTTTGTGTGTGAGGGACTGGGGTTTGAACTCAGGACTTTGCACTTGCAAAGCAGGCACTCTACTACTTGACCCAATTCCACTTTTGATACAAGATCTATTTCTTTCTCTAAACTGTGCCTGCCTCACACCATTAGCAAGGTGTCTGACTCAGGGCGTCGTCCCGAACACTCATCCCATCCCCAGTACTGGAGTCACGTTGCTGGCTCTTCTTTTCTCACATGTGGTTAAGGCATAAAATGGAAGAATTGAGAGAGACTGAAGAGAACAACCAAGCCTCCATAAAAGCTGTAACTTGGTGTCTGGCTTTCTCTAGGAGCTGTTTTTGAATTGCTTTTTCTCTTCTGAATTTCCAAATGCAACAAAATTGTGATATTACTTTTCTGTATCTAATCCTATTTTGTCCCCAGGGCATAGAAAAATCTGTTTTAACTTTTTTTTTTTAATGGTTGGTATTGGGGCTTGAACTCAGTGCCTCGTACTTGCTAGGTAGGTGCTCTACCACTTGAGCCGCTCCTCCAGCCTGAAAAATCTATTTGAATCAATTTTCTCCAGTCTCAGAGCTGCTGCCTTCTGACTTCACAGAAGCGCCACCCTTCCGTGGCACCTCAGAAGCACTCCGCACCCGCCGGGCCCTGGTGGAGAAGAGGTTCTAGAAGCACTTGCTTGTGTTTCTTGGTGATCTCAGAGTTGCCAAGCAAATCGAGAGGACTGTTCCCATCCTCTCTTCCCCTAACTCAATCCTATGGGAAGGTACCAGCACCTGCCCATTTTACAGAAGAGAAGATGGAGGTTCAGAGAATTAATACACTTGGCCTGGGTCAGACTCTGGGCTTGACTGAGAGTTTTCTGATGTTGAAACGTGTTCTTTGTAGCCATGCTGTAGTAAAGACCAGCTGGCCAGATTTGGCCACTTCTTGTGCTTGGAAGTAAACCCTGGTCAAGAGTGTCCACAGCCCCACAGACCTCCCCCAATTTTGGCGTCCTAGTTTATGCTCTATGCAGTTGCCTCCAGTATGCACTGGGAATTGGTCCTAAGACCCATGTGGATACAAAAAGCCTGGGACATGCAAGTTTCTTATATAAGATGGCATAGAATTTGCACATAGGCTACCCATACCCTCCGTATGCTTTAAGTCATCCCTAGATTACTTGTAATACTTCATGCGCTGTAACTAGGCGCCAGTGATGGTGTAACTTATTATATGCTTTGTATCGAACTGTGCACCTGCCCAATATTCCTTCCTTAGATGGATAGAGGTTTTGATGTTTATAGCAATGATTTTTTATGCATCACCCTAGTCTCAAGTGGCACCATACGAAGTAAACAGACTGGGCTTAAACAATAGGGATTTATTCTGTCATAGTTCTGGATCAAAGTGTCCATGGCTGTTCCTCCTGAGGCCATGCTCTTTGGCTTGCAGATGGTGTCTTCGCCCTGGGTTCTTATATGGTCATCCCTCTGTGTGTTGTGTCCTGATCCTGACTTATAAGGACACAGTCAGATTGGAATGGGCCCATCCTGATGACTTTGTTTTAATTTAATCATCTCTTTGAAGACCTGTCTCCAAGCCCAGTCTCTCCCTGAAGTACTGGGGGTTAGGACTTCAGTGCGTCTTTTTTGGGGACACAATTTAGCCCATCACAATGGGTCCCTTAGCTCCTAAGTTCCTCCCCAGGGGACCTGAGGGTGTCTCCAAATTTTTGGCTGTCCACTGACACAATCCTTTTCATTTTCTCTGACCTCTGATCCGTGAAGAATTGTCTTCTGGTTTAATTTGGAGGGAAGGGGACACAATTCAGCCCATCGTATGTACCAACATGAATCCTTTCTGAGAGTCTCAAACTTGCTTCTGAAATTAGAGTTGCTTTGGCAGAAAGTGACGGTGGCTCTTCTCAGATGAGCACAGTACAGGGTGGGCCAGGGGTTGGAGGCCTGTCTTGGTGGTCCCAGACCTGTCCCGGAGCTCTTCCCTGTCACAGGCTGCACCCTGGAGACCAGGCACTGGCTCAATTCCACTGATGCCTCGGCTGCCCAGCAGGTCTGGCCATGCCGTCCCTTCCTCCCCACTTTCTTTCTCGAGCCAGGTAATGGGAAGGGAAGGAGACAGAGGTGCACAGAAACAATGTTACCATCTGCTTTGCTCAGAGGTGAAGCAAACAGGTAGGACCCACAGTGTCTTTCCAGGCTGTAACTTCAAAGAGACTGGACGGGGTGTGGAGCAGGTGTCAGGAGACCATGCCTTCCCCGATGGTGCCAGCAGGGGTCAGATGAGCTCAGGAACACCAGGGCAGCCGGGAGAGGAGGAGACAGATGAGAGCAAAGGACGGAAAGGCCTTCTTCCCTACCTGAGTTCATGGAGTTGCACCACCAATACTGAACTTCCACAAGCCCTCCTCCTTAGCGGTTCTGGTCTCCAGGACTCAGTTCTTGTGACGAATGGTTCATTCTGGGGACTAAGAATGACAGACTGGGCTTTGCTGCCGTTGCAGGGGACAGGGTGTGTGTGTGTGTGTGTGTCAGAACCAGAATGACAGAACATACAGAGATTGGAGTTTCTTGCACACTTGACCCCTGAGCTGTGGGACTCAAGCCATCCTTGTCACCCTTGCAAATTCTGGTCAGCGCCAGGTGCCCCCTGGCCCTGGCATTACCAAGGCCCTAAGCCTCACCCTGGAGATGATGCGTCAGTGGTCACGATCCAGTTTCTGCTCTCCTGATGTGTGCAGTGTTTATTTGTTGTCATGATTAGTGAATGTGGTGCTGAGCTCACCACAGGCCTGCCGTGGAGAAGACCGAGCCGTCCCACAGCTCAGACTTGTTCATGGCCACCAATCAGGACCTGCCAGGCACATCTAGGTTCCTACCGGGACACAGGTGCAGGCCAGGAATGGGCTGGGCTCTTTGTTCTTTGCTCTCTAGGTTGCCATGGCAACCTTACACTTCTTTGTTTGCATGTAGAATAAAGTCACTAGTAAAATAAAGAAGTCACACCTTTATTTCAGGAAAATGACTGTGACTAAAACAGCCTCCTGGCCTCCATGGGCGCAGGTTGGTTCCCTTCCAGCTCAGGGCATTTGCTGCCTTTACTTCTGCAAGAGCTCCTTTAGTTTTTGTCCAGCTTGCCTGGGTAGTCCCAGGGGAAAGCTGGAGGTAAGGAGCCAGCCCCTTCCTCCCAGCTCAGTGTCCCATAAAAAGGCCAGGCACATCAGTCACAGCCCCTGCAGGAGCTTGAGAGGACCTCAGAATGGGAGTAGAGCTGGAGAGGAAGGACCCATTTCTGTTGTATCATGGTGGGAATTTGCCTGAGGTTTAAGGTGCCCTGTGCATAGGCTGTGGAGGACAGGAGGACACCAGTGGAGATGTCCCCATTCACTTCCTCAAAGCCAGAGCCATGTCTGGGTTTTCATTGTCATGGGACATACTTCTCTTTGCTGGTGGCCCTTTTCTTGACTGCCCATTAAGTTGGGTGAACCCACACCTTCCATTTGCAAAGTCCCCACCCCCTTCCCCTTGATCAGAAATGAGAAAAGGAGAGGCCCAAAAAGACCCGTGCAGAGTGGGGTGTGTCAGACCCTTACACCCAGACCTTGCATGAGCAGGCCTGATGTGATCAGAGGGACAGGCTGAAGGATATCCCCAAAATTGTTCACGTTCTCCTTCCTGGGACTGTGAACATGTGACCACCATAGCCAAAGGGACTTCGCAGATGTGGCTGTGAAGGATTTTGAGATAAGACACTAGGTGGGCCTGGCGTCATCATATGGATCTCCGTGAGAGGGAGGCAGATGGCTGAGAGGCAGAGGCCATGTGGGAGCAGAGAGACAGAGAGAAATTGCAGGACACTGCACTGCTGGCCTCGTGGATGGGGTAGAGGCTAGGGGACAAGGAGTGCCAGCAGCTCCAGACACTGGAGAAGGCAAGGAAAAGGGTACTCTCGTGCCTCCAGAAGGAGCACAGCCTGGCGACCCAGTAAGAAACCCTGACCTCCAGAACTGTAAGAGAATGAGTTGGTGTGCGTCAAAATTGTGTGGTTTTCAATTATTGTTATAGCAGTGTCAGGAAATTAGCACACAGTGTTGCTACCAACAGCATTTCCTGGTTTTGACCTGTTGGGTGATCCTTTGCAGCACTTGATTGGCTATTACACCTCTTTCAGCCAGTGTGGACATAGCTGAAGATTGAACTGAAAACGGAAAAATGTCTGGGGACTTGACTTATAAGAACATAAAAAATAAAGTAATTGCAGCCTTCGTGCGTGCAGTGGTGAGTCTCCCATGCCTAGGAAGGACAGTCACGGCAAGCCAGCACACATGTCACAGCGCGCCATCCTAACTCGGCAGCTCTGTGCTCCCGTGGCTGAGCTTATGGGACAGCGGACACACAGAAGGCAGTGACAAAGATAAGAGCAAGTGGCAAGTCATCTGGAATATCAAAGTGCATTTTGTGCTTATTCAAGTCACGTCGGGTGAGGCTAAGACCCCAGCACAATAGCAGGATCTTGTACCTCAGCAAAACTTTTTACGAAGTGATGGCAAGTGTCAGGCCTGCTCAGCTGGCAGAGATCCAGTTCCTCCAGTTAAATGCCGAGTTGGACCCGTGTGTCAGCGTCTTCACTGGCGGGTTCACCAACTCCCACTGTCCTTGCTCTTTGTTTTCCTCACAGAAGCACATTCCCAGGGAAGGAATCTAGAACAGAGTTTTAAATCCATCGTTACCATTCTGTGCCAAGCCAACCAGCTCTGGATTACTTCTGGAGCCAACTGACAGGCATTCCCAGGCCTTGGAGGGGACGTGACATTCCCAGGCTGCCAGGTGTCTTAGAATCAACGCCACTGTCTACCACGAAGTTCTCAACAGCTGGCCCTTGTAACCACGGGTAATGTCTGGAGATGTTCCTATCTGTCACAACTGGGGATGGAGGCACTACTGACCACACACAGGTAAAGGTCAGAGTGGGGTTAAGTATCCTAGAATGTATGGGGCTGTCCCTACCACAGAGAAGGACCCAGCCCACAGGTCTGCAGTGGGAAGGCGGAATCCCTGCCAACCACCTGAACAGTAGTTACGTTCTCAACTTTGGGCCCCCATCCCTTTGTTTGTGAAATGAATGTGCTGGAACAGATCCTTGTGCTGAAGTCCTTTTTTTCTTGTTGTTGGCATGATTTGCTTTTTTTCCCCATCCCTCTTTTTAATGTCTAAAAGTTCCTTGTCCAGATCAACTCTGCACAAATTACAACATGCACTGGGGATCCAAGCAGAGGCTGCTGTTGACACGGAGGCCTGTGGTGTGGTGTGACGGGGTGGACAGGGAAGGTCCTGGTTATTTCAGTTTCAGCTGCTCCTGATTTGAAGACCTGTCATTCATCAGAGCCCCTTGATGGGTTTCTGATATGCACGAGTAAGCCCAGCTTGTATTTGGGGCAGGGAGTGAGGTGGACACCAGAAGGTCAGCGTAAATTCCAGGAGCTGGAAGTTCAAGGCTAGTAAGGGTCCTGGGAGTGGGTGGGAGCTTTGGCCATGATGATGATAGGTTTTGAAACAGTGTCTGTGTGCAGCTCTGAGTCAGGGTCTTGTGTGTGCGGCACTATGCAGGGGAAATAGCTACGTTTAGGCTAATTGCCGCATCCCGGCACACTGAGTCTATCTAAAGATGGTGGCACTGATGCTAGGTAACCACTCAAGGACAACTAGTTATGCCATTAATGAAACGCACAGTGGGTGTGATAACTTGGCGGAATGCCACCTTTGTCTGTATCTGTATAAAAACCCGCCACAGAGTAGCTGGGCGGCAGCACAGTGAACAGTAACACATGTGAAAACCCCCTTTGGCTCCTCCTTTCTTCTCTGGACCATCTGAACCATGGACCCATCTGTCTGAGGGAGAGCATTTGACTTGCACATTGCCATCCTTGTTGGTTACACAGACCCTAGAGGAGCCCAAGTCCCACACCTATGCACAAGTCTCCCAGCCTTGGGCTCTTCTAGGGTCTGTGTAACCAACAAGGGGGCTGAGGCAGAAGGATCACTTGAGTTCAAACATTCACAACTAGTCAGTTTATTGTCTACGTGCATCTAATGTGTGTCGACCTTATTCCCCCCATCCTCCTCCTGCTTATGCCCTATACTTCTGTACCACTGGGTTCATGGTGCTGGCTCACTGATTGGTTAATTTGATTAAAACAAGGATGCATGGGCAACTCCAGCCCCAAGCTGATCACCAGAGGAGGAGAAAGGGGTGGTCTGAGCTCCTGGACCCGCCTCCCTGCAGCCTGTCAACTGGCCAGCCCCCTCTGCTTTGCGGGGTGATGTCCAAGAGGGCTGTCATCATCCCATGCTCCTGCATCGTTAGGAGTTTATCTAGCTCCAGCCCAGCAGCTGGGCGTGCTGACAGCTACAAGCTCTAGTTGTTCTGAGACTTCTTTCATCCATCAGTGCCCCTCCCTGGTCCCCAGAGGAAACCAGAAGTCAGTCCTGCAGTTGTCCCTTTTTTTCTTATCCTAAACAGTCACTTCTTATTGGACCATTTGCTTTGCTACTAGAGTTGCAAGGAATTATAACGTGAACGGATTTTTAAAAATCTTGTGTTTTTCACATTGCTGCAGCAAAGGACCCAGGTTGTCATGACAGTGACACAGATGATCAGCCTGTCCCTGTGAAGGCTGCCCTTGTACAGAAGCTGAGCGCACATCCTCAGGGAGCCATCAGCCCTGGGTTGGCTGGATCCTTGTTGTCGTTCTAAGGGAGTGTGACAACCCTATGCCTTTGGGGTGCTTGATTTAGTGGCCTAAAGAGACAACAGAGGACATATATACCTTTCTCACCAGCTGGGCAAAATCCCCACATTCCCGGGGTGGCAGCCCAAGGAGTGGCCGGGTGCAGGAGTCCAGTGCTGAGCTGTGACTCACGATGAGGATGACACCCACTGTAGACAAAAAGATACCTCAGGGTCAAGGCAGCACAGAGAGCACCTTATATTAGACAGGGGTCCCTAAAGGTGGTAGGGTGGAGCTACCTTGCCCCAGAACTGTGAGGCCCCTTGGCATGAAGTGGGCATGGGCAGTACTGGCTAAGTCACACTCACAGCTCAGTCCCTCACTTGTGCATGAGAAACACTAACTCTCCACGTAGGGTCTGGGGGTGAGTACCTGCCTGCCAGCTTCAGTGATGGTGTCTGCTGGGATCGGAGTCTCCTCCCTCTTGTGGCTGGCTAGACCCTGTCAGCCACCTGCTGATGGCTGCCACTCAGGTCTGATCTGATGGCTTTAGAAATATCAGCCGGCTTGTCACAATGAGTGACTTAGATAAGGACATGCAGGAGACTCCCTCAGCCTCCTCAGGTGACAGAATATGTCCCAGCCAGATGATGGGGGTTGGGGTGGGAAGCCAATACCTCTGCTTGTGAAGCAAAGCTGGGAGAGTTGGGAGAGGGGCTGTTGGGTTGGGGAAGGTGGGCTGTGGACTGACCCCCACTCTCCCTAGAAGCTGGTTGCTCTGTCTCTTCCTGGTCTCCTTGGTTTCCTACAAACTGAATCATTTGGACATGGGTCTCTTGGCATTTGACCCAAAAATTGGGGTCCTATGCACCCAGTTACTGCCAGAGCAGGGTCTCGAACCCTGTAGGCTGGTAAGACACTTACTGTCTGGTGGGCAGGAGCCGATGATCCTCCCCATGCTCACAGCGCACCTGTCCACATAGTCCTCGTAGCTCTCGGCTGGCATGAGGGAGCTGCTGGGGATCGCAGGCCTGCAGGGAGGAGAGAAGGAATGACCGCTGTCCTAGTGCCTCTGGGGAGACCAGGATTGTGTGCTGGAGTGGCTGGGAAGGTTCTTCCAGATGGCCTTGCCAGGCAGGACTCCCAGGCTCACGTTCAACAGGAGCCCCAAAGGTATGGTCCACACTGGCAGAGGGCCACCCGCAAGCCTCCAGAATGGGCTCTTCATGAATGCCAGCAGGCCTGTGCGACACAGCCAGCACTGAAGAATAAGCACGTAGTCCTTGACCAACCTGAGTCAGGCAACCTCAACCTCTTTCCAGTCCTTTGTGCATCTGCGTCCATCCGTGCAGGGTGAATTTTAACCAGAAACCCCAACCTCCACATCTGATCAGGCTCCTTACCCTTCACCAGTCTCGGTTGGCTTCCCATCACCCTGGTATGCCTTTGAGGCTGATTAGATTAGGGAAATGGGACAAGAGAAGCTGTAGGTGGGACCTAGGAATACATGCTGTATGCACGAGTAACCTGATGCCCGTCTCTTTGGTCTTACATGCCCTCACTGAGCTGTGGTGTATGGTAGAAAGCGACTCTTTTGACTTTTCTTCCCAGGTTGTCCCCTGGGAAGGAAGGAAGCATATCTTGAGGAAAAACACTTATCTTGAGAAAGGCATTTGGTTAAATGACTCCTTGGATCATAGAAATGTTTGCAAAAGAAAACAAAGTCAGACATCTATGCGACAATAGCCCAGATTGAAAAACTGACCAAGGCCTGTCTCAAGGCCAAGCTAATAAAGTTAAAGTAACAACAAGAATGACTGAAATGTACCAGGTGCTCAAAACAAAGATGTGCACTTATCCTAAAGGATGCCTAACAGACGGCGTCCTGCTTTTCACCATAAACACCCGGATGTTGTAAGGCTTGGTGAGATCTTCCGAATGCCTGCGTTCTGCCTTTCCGAGTGTGTCTTTCTTTCTCCTTCACTTTGGTAAATAATTCTTTGTCAGTATCTCACCATACTTTGTGTCTTGGCCTGAAATTCTTTTTTTGTGGCGTGAGTTGAGGTCTACTCCCTCTGGGGACTTCCCCTACCACTGGACCATGGTGACACTTTCACCAGGAACACTGTTAAGCTGACTGAGCAAGACTTCCCCTTCCTGCTGAGTAGTTTTCCCTCCACTGACCCCATCTGCTCCTTGGCTAGCAATCCCATCTGCCCAAGCTGTATTTTGAGTTCAGTCTCCTCTGTCTTCCCCTACTGGGTCCCTCTTGAGCAAAGTCTCCCTTACCATGACAGATTTTCTTTCACAAGAACTAGAAAAGAACCTGGTAGCAGAGAACTTGAGAACGCATACCTATACTCAGGGTCAACATTGAAATTTGCCTCTTTCAGCTCCTCTAAGGTCATGAAGGCCGGGGTGGTTTTGCTGGCTTCCCACTTCATCCATTCGAAGATTCCGGGCTCCACTCTTATCTTCAGTTTTCTCTCCAGTTTGAGTTCTGGATTTAATGTAATACAAGTGTCAATCATCGTTGGCATCCACTTTGGCTTTATGTAAATAAGTCTCTCTCCAGCTAGATCTGACCCATCTGTGAATCTAAACACCACCTTTCAAAAGTGTGATTTTCTTCCTGGCAAATATTGTTCTGGGTTTAAGCACATTTAAGCAGTTGGAAGTATCAGAGGGATGGAAACATTCTGTCTGTCAGGAGGGACGTTCTGACTTAGCTGGGGAGGCACCATAGGCAGCAGGACAACCTGGGGCTCACCCTGACCCCCAACACAACTCCACAGCTAAATCAATATGGCAGCCTCATTCCAGGGCAAGGATGAGAACACACCAATGAGGGTATAGCCAATCCAACCAAGGGAAAGATGTGGCTAACCATGGAGAATGCAGGTGACATAAAACATGGTCCTGATGGACACTTGGCCAAGACCAGGCAAGCAGTGAAGGGGAAGAGGGAAGGAACTGTCTTCTGGAACCTTCTGACTCCTCATAATACACCCTTAAGATCTATCAAGTAAGGCCATCTCTTTGAGTGGAGAAAAAAGACCTTCATGTGTCAAGCATGGTGCTACACATTTATAATCCCAGACTCTTGGGGGGCGAGGGCAGGAGGCCAAACTGGATAACTTAGCAAGACTCTATCCCAAAAAAGGGGTGCGGACGTGTTGGGAGGGCAGCTCAGTGATAGAGTCCTTGCCTAGGATGCATGAGGCCCTGGGTTTTATCCCCAGTGCTGCAAAAACCAAAACGATCTTACTGTTTTTATTTGAAATAGAGAAAATATCATTAAATGCAAGCTTTGGAAACAAATTGAGTTCCCCAAATATATCCTAAGTCCATGGGATGGATTTGTTGATCAAGCACATTTAGAAAAGAGAAAGTTAGCTCAACTTGATGAGTCTCCTGTTTGCTCCCCAATCATAAGAGAAGAACAGCTTGCAGAGCTTCCAGGGTGGGCATGGCCACTGTCTCTTTCTGAGGCAGACACCTGGTAGGCCACTATTCTGTTGGACATATGTGGGCAAGGGTCCATCTGGACAGTCACTGACATTGAATTTATATAAAGCCTAGCGTGGAAGCATCTCAGCTATGTCTGAAAAACAGGTCAGTCATGTTTGAAGACTTGCATGGAGCAACCTTGCTTTTCTGAGTGAACACAGGACTTATAAATCTGTCACCTTTGCATGGATATGATAATAATAAAATAATCTGTATGGGGAATAAATGTCAGTGAGAGCTGGTGTTAAAGTCACTGACATTATCAGTAGCAAAAAAACAATTTAAAGAACTTTTTATTTTGTATGTAAGAAATCCAAGTAATAAGAGTCAAAAGTATTTACCAAAATTGGAATATGTAAATAATGAAGACCATGAGCAATGACGAAAACAGATAAGATTATGAAAAACGGTTTTCAAAGATCTCAACTGTGCCAGGCACCTGTGGCTTACGCCTGTAATCCTAGTTACTCAGGTGGCAGAGATCAGGAGCATCTTGGTTTGATGGGCAAACAGTTCTCCAGACCCTATCTTGAAAATGCCCATCACAAAAAAAGGGCTGGTGGAGTGGCTCATGGTGAAGGCCCTGAGTTCAAACCCCAGTACCGCAAAACAAATAAGTAAAAGTTAAAAAAATGATCTCAATTGTATTTTATAACAAAGGATGGCCTAAAGAATTTTCACTGTCTTTCTATTCATGTGTGGTTGCCATGGTGAGACAAGTTGGGTAGAAGATTAAAGTCATTGCCAGAAAAAAACCCCAGGATTTGGGATGACAGAAGCTGGGTGGGAGGGGATCATGGGGCCCGCAGGCCATCTGTGACATCTCACATCAGCTCACCAGTGGGCAGCTGGCTGAAGATCGAAATTAAACTTGTTTTGAAAGATGGTGGAAAAACCACATCTTGCCTGGTTTAGAACAAAAACCTACTCAACAGGGTATAAAAGGCTGACTGAGGCAGGAAACTGAGGCACGAGCCTGTTGCCTTTTATCATGTAAATATTTGTAGTGTTTCTTGTTTTTTTCACGTAGTATTACTGTAGATGTTGGAGCAATCCACGGATACAATGACTTCTGTTTTGCTTTGTTCCTTCATTGTCGCTAAGAGTTAACCCTCCAACCCAAGAGCTCGGAACAAACACAGCCAAGAGGGGATTTGTTCTGAGATTAGCAGGGCCTGTACCTTGGTCTCTCCAATTCTGCTCCCTTGTCCCTCTGTCCTTCCTGGATGGAGGGTCTGGGATCCTCTGCTCTGAACAGAAATACACGGAGTCTGACATCATGGGGACTTTGATGCCTGGATTGGGGTCATTACTCTGGTCACAGTCTCCCTCTCCCAGTCTGCCCCCACCCCCAATACTACAGCCCTTGGGTGTGAGCTCATGGTGCATGTGTGAATTCAGAGCGTGCATGCATGTGTTGGGGGGAGGCGGGGAGTGTTAGCAAGCACTGGTGCATCTCAAGGTCAAGCCCCACTTTCCACAAGGCTATGCTAGAAGTTCTGCACGTGGGGATTGTTGACCTTGCCTGGTGTGGTTTAAAAAGTCCTTGTTCTTTAATCTTTACCTGGCTCAGCTAGTTGACAACCCAGAGAGGAAGAAGAAGGAGTGATGCAGTTAACATCAAGCCTCCAACTCCAGGTGAGATGAATTGGCATTTCTGTCTTAGTGAGCGGCCTGAAATAGGGTGTAGGAGATTTGGGGGATGATGTCAAGGTGGTGGCCTAGGAGTAAGTAACAAAGAATGAGGGAATGAATGGCTGCAAAGCGGGAGGTAGACATGTGTGGATGGTGAATTGCCAATAAAATAGATTTTTTTGTGCTTCACAAAGTTAGAGAATGGACTGGAAGACAGAGTTCTGGGAATGTAGGAAGGGACTGCGTGAGCTGGGACAGGTCTGGTGGCATCAGCCCTGGCTGGATTTCCATCTGCCATCTTGATACAGGGTTCTGTGCATGGACGGAGGCAGGGCAGGAGCTGGGGGTGGTGCCCACTGGCTTGACCCCTAGTTGTTCTGACAGCTCCTCCATGAAGATCTGCTGGCCCTCTCTTTGACATCCAGGTACAAGTCTCCACCATGTGGGTCCTCCCAAAATGTCCTCCTTACTCCTTGTCCTCTCTTCTGCAATGATGTCACTCCTCCCTGTCTCAGCGACTCATTCCCTTCACCTTGGGGTTGTCACTCCCAGCAACTGCAGCCCTCTGTGAGCCCAGGGTTAAACGTTGTTCTCCCTCCTTGCTTTCAAGCTCTCCTTCCTTCGCTCCCTCCAGGACAGTCCTCCCCACCTGACCCTGCTTACAACCTGCGGTCACAGCCACCCCCTGCACACACCCTCAGCCCTGTGCCCTCTGTTGCTGCCCGGCCCTCACTTTTCACACAGCCATGGTTAGATCCAGCTCTCTCCCTATTCCCTGTCCATGATGGAGGAGACTCTCAGCCCAGCCAAGGGGTCTCCATGTAAAGTCATACTCAGTAACTGCAGGTGACTTCCAGAGCTGTCCCATGGCCATTCTACACTTCCCAGTTCCTATCCTAGCCCCTCTCCCTGGCCACTGCTTCACACACTCAGCACTCCACAAGTCCCTTCCCCTGCTCACTGTGCACTGGTGACCAACTTCCTGTGATTGTGGTAACTGGAGACCAGTCCCCTCTTCCACCCTCCCCCATGTGTGCTGACCTGCTGCGGTGTATCATGGACTCTGCCTCCTGCCCACCACTATGGAGGAACAACTGGGCACTTGGCCACACCAGTCCCTGCCTGGGAGACTAGATTCTTCCTCTTCCCACCTGAGGAGGGACAGATGGGGTTCAGACTGGGCAGGACCCAGCTTCCTGACCCACTGCAGCCTGTTGGGCAGAAGCTCTCTTCCGGTGGTGGAGGCTGCAGCAGGACCAGCCAATAGCCTCCTGCGAGGATGCTGGACAGCTCTCACTGGTCTTTAATCCTGGCATTCCGGAATAGCCTTGAGGCCAGGACAATGGGCAAAGCTCACTGAGGTCCTCACCTACCTTCCAGGATGTGTTTGGCCGTCTGCACACAGCGCAGGGCTGGGGAGGCGAACACAGCTGTGACTCTGATGCCACTGTCCAGTAGTGCTTCCCCTGAAAACAGCAGGTGGAAAATGGCCTTTGTCATTCTAACCACCGACAGGCAGCTCACTCCCTGTGGCAGGGGGGGACACAAGTGACCCCTACTGCACACAGCTTGTGTGACATCCTGAGTGTGGTAGAAACTGTGACTGTGACCACCAATTGTTCTCATGACCATTTTATTATACGGCAGAGGGAGATGACCCCGGGGGGCTGACTGAGCCAGGAGAGCCCATTAGAAACAGAGATTTCCTTTCCCTGGTCACAGAAAAGATGTCTGAGAAATTTGAAGTGAGAGAGATTCGGCACAGAGAGACATGTGAAGACAGGGAAAAGGTGCCATCTGCAAGCCAGGGAAAGAGGCCTGCAGCCGATTCTCCCTGAAGGCCCCAGAAGGACCAAGCCTGCCCCCTACACCTCCACCTAGGGCTTCTGGCCTTCAGAATTGTCAGACAATAAACAACTGTTGTTCAAGCCACCAAGTCTGTGGTGCTTTGACTCAGCAGCACACATGGAAGCCCGCACAGACACCTGTTCCCAGCCACTCCCATACACGCTGAGAGGTGTGCAACCTCTTGGCAAGGATTTAAGCATAAAGAGAGGGCCTTGGAGGCCCACCACAGGGGCACACATACAGGCACATGAGATGTGCACACACACATACGCACAGACCTGCTGCCCTATGGGAGAAGGAGTCCCGCTGGGCTGTGTGCAGCCAGCTCACTCCCACCCAGGATTGCTGACTGTTGCCATCTCCCTGCTGTGCATCCAGTGATGTCACACTGGGAGCTTGAAGTCAGCTGTGCTGTGAGCACAGAGTTCTCACCACTGAAATGGGGATGCCTCCACATCAGGGCCTCCCGCCCTGCCCAGAAAGCATGGGAGGCTAAACCTCTGTGAGTTCACTGTCTGCAGGGAGAGGAACAGGGAGAGCAGGTTCTAGTGAGTTCTTTCAATTAACCAGCTTGTGACATGGATGCACGTTTGTCTCTGTAGATTTGACTCTCTAAATTTATGAAAAGAAGTCCAGGTGAACTCAGTGAAATCATCTATTCCAAAAATTAGATCATGAGGAAAGCGAACCCCTAGACATTAAAAAATAAAAGCCCATAGAGACAGTATTACAGTAAAATCAACGAGATGTGGTTTCTAGTTTTCAAAATGACCCCTCAGTGCACACAGTGGTTATTGGTGTTCCCTCCTCTCCCCTGTTCTCTCTGTGCCTCCCCACTTGTCAATCACCCATTGCTGGATTGAACCCCTGCACTTTCATTTACTAGCCATGTGACCTTGGATGGGTTACCTTACCTCTCTGTGCCCTGACTTCCTCATTTGCAGAGCAGGGGCAAATGATGTCAATACTGACACCAAAGAGCCTGTGACAAAGGCTCAATACACAGAGCTATCATCATCATCTTTACTGTCTCTCTCCCACTAGAGAGTAGCGAAACCTGCAAACTTACCTGCAAGTCTGGACTGGAAAATTCCACAGGACGACAATGGTGGATCGTTTTCAAAGTCTTTGATGCCATTGCTCCGTCTGGGCAGGCTTCGAGGGACATTTAGGTCTGGCCTGTAGAACTTTCCTGATGCAGAATCAAACAGCAGAGGCTCAGTTCATGAAGTCAGTGCACAGGTGTCCTCCAACACCCAAGGCCAAGATTATTATCTATGTCACTGTCACCTGTGCTATTTCTCCAATGCTCTGTGATGTGGGTTCAACTCAAGCAGCAACACTGTTTTGAGGTGCTCACGTTCCCCCAATCCAGAGCACTTGGGTGTCAGCTCTCATGAATTTTCTCTCACTTAACAAAGAGCAGGATAGAGAACCACGTGTCTCCATGGCTGAGTTAGCGCAGCTAGGAAGACTCTTAAGCTAGCACCAATTAATTAGGGGCAATTTGGACCTTTCTCTTAGTCTTAAGTGTGTTTCACTTCTTATAGGAACAGTGTGTACCTGGCTCGAGGTGACTGTGTGTGCATTGTTCAGTCAACTGCTTCAATGACAGGATAGGAATCAGACCCATTTGCTGGGACTTCCTGCCATTGGAGGCTGCACAGCTCCCTGACTCAACTTGAGTTTGACCTTGAGCTCTAAGATCTGTAAGTCTGGTACAAATCCTGGCATTACCATCTATCTGCTGTGTGATTACAGACAAATGGCTTAACTGCTCTCCTCAGTGAAAAGGGGAAGTGAGAACTGTCACGATGACAATTGTCAGGAGCTATGCTAGAGCCCCGCGCCTGGCTCAGATAACATGGCTGATGTGTACATGGTAGGGCTGGTCCCTTATCCCCATGAGCCACCATCTTTTTGGAGGATGCCACCATGACACACCTCCTGAGCACCATACTCTGCCTTCACAACTGCCTGACCCTGAAGCTTGGGGCTGCCAGCACTTCTAGTGGCCACGGTGAACGATCATGCTACAGGGTGGTGTCACTGGGATGTGGTGTTACCCAATGACATTGACACAGGGACCCTCCTGTGTTGGAGCCAAGCGCGTCCATTGAGATTCACTGGACTCGACCTACCATCTGGAGTGGAACACTGCTGCAGCCATGACTTCCCAAAGATCTGGTCCAGTCGCTCCCCATGGTGCACCACCAGCACACTTCTCCTCACAATTGTGGCCTGAGGACACAGGGTGGGGACAATTGAACATCGAGTTATTAGTCACATGTGCACCAGCAGTATCCCTGACAGTACGTCATGGCTGGGGCCTCCTCCTGTGCTGGTCGGCAGCTGCAGGAATGTTGCTGGAGGATTTACAGTGAAGGAGCCTCAGGAACCTCTTCCACCTCTTCCAACCATTAATTTCCTGGCCTTCCTGACATCATGAAGGGAAGAGCAAGGGTTGGCTCACATCACAGCCTATCAACTCCTACTCTTCCAAGTCCTTATCCTTCCACAGAGACTTCTGGGGATCTCTCTCACCATCCCTATCCCCATATCTAACCTATAATATATTATTACTGTGTATCTATCCATCCATCCATCCACCCACACACCCAAACCCCCACCCCCACCCACCTATCTACCTATCTACCCACCTATCTATCCATCCATCCATCCATCCATCTACCCACCCACCCACCCACCCATCCATCCATCTAGCTGTCTATCCATCCATCATCCATCCATTCATCCTTTCATCCACCCACCCACCTATCCATCCATCCATATACCCACCCATCCATCCATCCATCCATCCACCTATCCACCTATCCATCTATGCTATAAGCATCTCCTGCCAGGCCTGCAATGCCCCATAAAGTCCATGTTGACCAGGACAATGAAGCTTCCAGCTGCTCGATGCACTGGATAGTTCTTAGTGGCTCTGACTACCATTGGCCGGTGTGTAACCTGCCATGTCTGTGACCTGCTGTCCACATGCACAAGCTTTCCCAGAGCCTGGGGCTGTCTTCAGAACAGGCATTCAGTAGACCAGTGAATATACTGCTGACCTACAAGTACTTCATTCTGGAGAGAAACACAACCTCCATGGTGGATCTCCAAGGGAAGGCATGTCCTGCTGGCCTCTTGTTCAAAGTCTGGTTGGGCAGGGCTTCTCTCTCCTAAAAACAAGAGGCCTTTCCCCTTGAGAACGAGTGTTCGCACTCCCTCCCCGTCCCTGCCAGAGGTGATCTTCCAGGTGGCCAAGTCACGCATGTGCTCAGAAGCTTAGCCTGCCTTGTGGTCATCTCTGGATATTGTCCATGCTTTGAGCTGAAGTTTTGAATTTGGAGCATTTTCTTTCCTGGAAGAGCCTAGAGCATTGGAACTTTCAAATTGAAGCTTAGAAAACAAAAACGAGGTCTTGGGAAGGGACGGGCCTCATCCCCCACATCTGTAGAGTAAGGCAGGACCACATCCATTCTAGACGACAAGGGTTGCACTAGTGTCCTGTGTACCAGGTCACCACACACTGAGTGGTGCTAAACATCAGAATGCACTTTCCACAGTTCTGGAGGCCAGAGGTCTGAAGTTGAGGTCAGCAGGTTGTGCTCCATGCAAAGACTCTAAGGGAGAGTCTGTCCTCACCTCCTCCAGCTCCAGTGGCACCAGGTGTCTTCAACTTGTGATGGCATCACTTTAGTCTCTGTCCCCATCTCACATGGCCTTATCCTCTGTGTAAGACACCCTGCTTCTCCCCTCTAAGGACTATTGTGATTGCATTAGGGCCCAGCTGGACGGTCCGGGATCACCTCTGTGATCAGCTGTGAGGGTGGCAGCAATCGTCCCACAGTCGAGGGCATAAACAACAGATGTGTATTTCCTCACAGTTCCTGAGACTGGGAGTCTGAGATCAGGTGTCACAGGGCTGTTTCTCCTGAGGGCTCTCTCCTTGGCTTGCAGACAGCATCTTCTCCCTGTGTCCTCATAGGGTCGTCCCACTGATCTCCCCTTCTTATAAGGATACAGTCAGAATGGGCCAGAGTCCATCCTAGTAACCTCATTTTACCTTAGTCACTTCTGTAAAGACTCTGTCTCCAAATACAGTCGCATTCAGTGGGGCTGGGGGGTCAGGCTTCGAGAATGAATGGGGTAACGTGGGAGACAAATGCAGCCCATTACACTGGGTGAGCTTTGGAACGAGTAAAAATGGAAGTTTCCACTGGTCATTCTGTCATTCAGCAAATGTGATTTTCAGGCCAGGCCTGAATGAATGGACCACTGTAGCCCCACTCTCTGTGCAGTAAATCTGTCGGTCCCTGTGCCTTGACCCATAGTGGACACTTGACACCTGCCTCCTGTGATGCTCCCAAAATCTGATCCAGGTCTCAAGACTCAGTGAGCCCCACCAAGCTTCTTTCCTATGTAAGTCCCATTTTCAGATCTATAAAATGAGGAGGGGTGGGAAGGGCTCCCGTGTTGGTTCCAGGTGCTGGGCCAATGTAACATGGCGTGTGTGACACACAGCCACATGTAGAGAGAGGCCTTTCCCTGAACAGGGTGAGTGGTCGAGCACCAGCTGTGGGTGTTGCCCCCCAGGGACTCCTTGTAAGGAAGGTCAGGCTTCAGAGTAGAATGTGGACATCCACTGCCCAGCTCGCTACCCCAACAGCATCAGAGGACCTCACAGCACGGTTTGTATGTCCTCAGGGAAGAGCTTCCTGCCCCTGGGGTCCCCACCCGCAGCCTGCAGTCTGGGAGTGCCCGTTGGCTAGAGGTGTCCCTGCTGTACCTCAGAACCTGGCCTTCGATGCTGTCCTCCCAGGGTGCAGCATCCACTCCTTATCTTGCCCAGCCTTGCCTGGAAAGATGTGGGGCCTAGGCACCAGGGCATGTGACTTCTTTGGGCCCCTTGGTTTGTTAATGAAGGCCTGGGTTCTGGGCAGTGCTCTGTCCTCTCTTCCCTGCCCTGTGTCCCAGAGCTGAGACTCCTTCCACCTACAGATAGGGTACTCACAGCCTTGGGAGGGTCGCAACCCCTGTCCAGAGGACAGATCAGGTGTGGCCCCCAGCACCTCTGCCTCACTGAGAGGGGACCCTTGCTGGTCCATGTCAGGGTCTGCCCTGGGGCAGCAGAGAGAGCACTGAGTGCAGAGCAAAAGCTAAACCCAGGCGGCCGCGTCTACCACGGAGTTCGAACAGCGAGTGTGGTTTTGCCTTGTTTACTTTATGAAAGGGAGTTCTGTTACCTGCAAAACCTGACTGCTGCTCAGACTCCTTGACATTGGAGAGGGGCAGGAGTCCCCATTTCGTCTGCCGCTGGTTCCACCATCTTTCCTAGAGTTCAGGTCCATGGCTAGACCGAAGGTGTACGTCCTGTGGGGGAAGAGGAGGTGCTGTGTCCTGACATGGAAACACGTCTGGTCATGCATGTGCCTGGGGCATGGCTGCGACCCATGAACACCTCCGCAGATAAGGATCCCAGGAGGACGTGTGCTGGGTGCTCAGGACACAGCAAGTGAACATGTGGCTATTTCATTGCTCTAGCATCCCTCAGGAGGGCTAAGGACATTTGGTCAATGGTTATTTTAGTTTATGTTGCCCAGTCTTGTCTCGGCTGCTGGACTCACATGACCCTCCTGCCTCAGCCGTCTCCCGAGTAGCTGGGACTCCTGTGCACACTTTTCCAGGAGAAGCAAACTGCATAGTTGGGTAGAAGGGGAAGGTACTGTGGGCTACAGTAAGGCTGGATGGGTTGGGGTAGACTGCTGGTTATGCCTGGGGTAGCCAAGCACTTCAGGTGCTATAGGTGCCATGGAAGGTTGGGTGCATGGGAATGCAGGTGTGCAGGGTGGTGGCCAGGCAGAGGAGACAGCCATGTGGGGGTGCTGGGGAGTCACAGAAGCCAAAATGGCTGGAACAGAGTGAGTTGAGAGGAGAGGGGCACAGGCAAGAGACAGGGGGATGGAGGAGGGGGCATCAGAACCCCAGTGCTGTGGGCTCTTGTAGGACTCAAGCTCAGAGTGAGAACAGATGACTGGACAGTGCTGATCGCATGGCACTTGGAAGAATCACCTTGGCCTTGCAGTTGAGACCAGGCTACCAGTCCAGAGCAGAGCAGGAAGCCCAAGTCTGCCATCTTGGTGACCAGGTGGGAGAAGTGGAGATCTTGAGGAACGGTCAGATTTGGTGATATTTTGAACATGGAGTCAGAGCCAACAGCAGTTTCTAATGAATTGGATGTAGAGCCCAAGAGACAGCGAATTGTCCAGAGAAATGTCAGGCTTTTTTGTGGTGCTGGGGAACAAACTCAGGGCTTCATACATGTTAGGCAAGTGCTTTACCACTGAGCCACATGCCAAGGCCAGGTTCAGGCTTTTGAGCTGAGCAACTGGGAAGAGCAAGCTGCCTTTGAATGAGACTGGGAGTTTATGGGAGGAGCAGGGTTTGGGAAAAGAGCTGGAGTCGGTTTTGTCACCTTAAGTTGGGAACCTTGGCCCAACTGAGCTGGCTGTGGACAAGTGTAGGGCTCAGGGGAGAACCTCCAGCTGCTGAGGAGCTGGCATCTTACAGGACGGGTGCAGAACTGCAACAGCTGCTGAGACATCAGGGGCTGGGGTCCAACAGACACTTCCAAGAACTGAGTTTGCAAACCCACAAAACCTTCCCTCCATTAAGACCCATTTCTCCTGCCTGCTCTGTCTCTTAAGGACGTAGCTGCCCTCAAAAACCTACTTTTTATAGACTAGCTGCACACTAAATTTTGCTAGGAATGCATAAACCCTCCCTTCCCGAGCGCTCCCTAGTCCTAAGTCACAGGACCAGGTCACCCCCAGAAGGGTGCTTGCCAGACATGCTGACAACAGAAACCAGATACAAGTCACTGTGATCAACACAGCAGCTTTGGTCATTTCTGCCTTCTTTTATCCATTGGACTGCGACTCTCACCCAGCTATGAGAACGAGGTAAGATGTCCACAGTCTACACTCCAGAAGAGGCTACTTTCTGAAATGCTAGACCACTGAGGGTCTCACCTGTCTGGAACATACCACTTCCCTTGAAAATTCCCATAAAGGACTCTTCCTGAGGTCAAAGGGCAAGAGTCTGCCATCTTCCATCATGCAGGCTTGTGCTTAATAAAGCTTTTTGTTTTTCTGTAAATCTGCCTCCTGACTCATCTACTCCATCAGGTGGCAGCTAAGGGAACCTGTGCAGAGTGCTCAGAGCTACAGGAGATCAGGGAAGAGGAGCACAGCCAGGGAGAGGAACTGATTCAAGGCTGGAGGAACCCAGGTAAGGAGAAACCCCAGAGGCTCAGAGGAGGATAAGGAGAGGAAACCCAATGCTGCCTTCACTGGTCTAAGATGGACCAAGGTCCAAGCACTGGTTGCACTGTATCTGCTGCCTCCATAAGAGGGGTTTTGTTGGAATGGTGGTACAGAAAGCCTTACTGAAGATGGTTTCAAGAGAGGAAGAGAGACACGAGTCCAGGCAGCACCTTCAAGAAATTTCACTAAAAACAGGAGCAGCGCAACAGCGGTAAAGGGAAAAAGAGGTTTTGCTGGATTTCATTTTTAAGATGACAATGTTTGCTGGAGGGAAGGATCAAGGCAGTTCTAGGGACAGGTGATGCTGGCATAAAGTCCTTCCTGTGGCTAGGTGTTGGGGGCATCACTATCTAGTGGGGAGAAGGAGCACATGGCTTGGGGTTGGCAGTGGGTGATGGTGGAGTGTATTTGTGGACACTCCCGACCGCTTCACCTGCCATGGTGTAGGAGGGGAGGAGGTGCTGAGTGTGAATAGGTGTGAGTACCAGTGTGCACACAACAAAAGCAGTGATAGGACCTGCAAATGAGACCAGCATGGGGGTTTCTCCAGCACATTCTGCTGAGCTGGGATAGGGACAGAGTCAACCAGCAGGGGCTTTGCCAGGTGAGGGGCAGCAGGAGGACGTTCAGGGGAGGGACTGCAGCTGTAAATGTGGACGCCAACTCAGATGGGGAGAGGGCAGGGAGAGTGTGGAAGAGGGAAAATGGGTGGCTTTGGAGGCTGGGTGCTCTGGGGAGAGACTGGCTGGAGCTGGGGTAAGGAGCTCACACACGTCTCTCTGCATGGCTGCAGCTCATGGGGTGTGCACAGGTATGCATGGGAGTCACTCATGCTGTTGACAACTGTTGATACCATCCCAATGGGTGCATAAAATGTGACACGCACACGCCAGAATTTGAGTAATTATTTCCCTAATGCTTCTACTTCTCAAACGGCACCATCTCAGCTGACAAACTGTATGTGTGCACAAGTCCTGGTTCTTCTCCCTCAGGACGTAGCTCAGAAGGGCCCCATTGGCAGAGGGTGGGACTGATTTGTTTTTTCAAAGTTTTCTTTCTCTCCTGCTTTGCAGGGGCATACCTAACTCTTGATGTGCTCACCAGAGTTTGTACTGTTCTTAAATTACAAAAACCAAAAACCTTTTCTGATTCGAGGGAGCTCATCTGACAGCACAAGAGCTTTTCCTTCTTTTCTTTCTCTTGTTCTCATTTCCACGGTTTTGGCCATTTTTCCCCTCAGAGCCTTGGTGCTTTTTTTTTTGTGGACACACATCTGATGGTCATCGTTAAAGACACATGTGTTGAGTCTCTGTTGCAGATGGCTCCCACTGTGCCACGCCCCGGAGATCAGAAACTTATTTGTGAAAACTGCCTGCCATTTTAAAAATGATTTACTTCTTACTTACTTCTCGACTCTGCCAGGAACTGACTGACACGAGGGGGTAGAAAGTATTATTTGTCTTGTTCCCTTTTCTTCCTCCCCTTCCCAGGACGCCATGTGAGCTCCTCAGTCATCTGACCCATCCCTGCAGCCAGGAGTCCACTTCAGACTTGTAGATATTGTGGGCTAGTATTGCTTCTCATTGTTTTTGTTTTTCAAAGTTTTTCTCAGCTCATCTCTCTTGCTTATTCTTCTAGATAAACTCTCCATTCACTCAGTGAAGTTCCAACAAATGAGCCCACTGGGATTTTTTCTGGAGTTCATCGACACTCAGGAACCACTCCAAGAGGAGGTGATATGTCCTCGTGATTCACATTTCTCAGCCACAAATGTGGTATGTTTTTATTTATTTAGCCCATGTGTAAATGTTAGCTCTTCTCCCAGAGAGCCTCAAGTCTCCAGACCCTCATAAATCTGGCAATTACTCCCCAGCTTCCAGAGCTGGGTCACTATCATTCATCCTGCATCTTGGCCACAGCCCTAGGCTGCCTATCAGGCTCCCACCACAAAGCCCCGGACCATTTGCTGCCTGCGTGCGATTTTGATTCTGTTTGTGCATTTCTTGCTTGCCTGCTTCTCTGTCCACATCATTGTGACCCATCACACCTTGATCTGTAAACTCCGAACAGACCCATGCAGTTCATTAATTCTCCCACTGTTAGGTGCCAGCAGAGATCGAGTGCTAATTTCAGTGGGTCACAAATAGAGAACCCTGACATTCGCTGTGGGACCAAGTCCCTAGGTGAGCATTCTGTGCAGAGGAGGCACAGTTCACAGGGTCTCTGTTAACACAGGAAATGTTGGTTAGTTTCTTCTTCCTGAGGGCAAGGTGGCAGCAGCTGTACCCTGCTTGTGGCTCACAACGCAGACAGAAAAGCCTCGTTATCTACAAGCGCCATCTGTGAACACGTTTATAGTCAGAAAGAAAATGGAACTTTTTTTTTTCTCCTGCTTTCAAATGAAATGAAGCCAAGATGAGGGCATGGTGGTGATTGTGGGAGTGGAATGGACACAGCATCTTGACATTTCTGTTTCCTTCATTGTTCACTGATATGGCAGCAACACGTTTCAATGCTCCCTTGTCCTTAAAAGGGTCTATGGGATTTCATGGGCTAAGTCATTGTTCAGTGTTCTGGGGACAAAGCACACAGACCGGGGACTTCAGCAACAGACACCTGTTGACTCAATCTGGAGGCTGGTGTTCCAGGGCTGCTTTCTCCTTGCTCCTCTTGTGGCTGTCTCTCTGTCCCTGTTCTGATCCCCTGTTCTTATAAAAACAGCCAGATCAGATTAGGGCCCACTGTGATGACCTCATTTTACTTTAACTGATTATATAAAGACCCATCTCCAAATAAAGTCATATTCTGAGATACTGGGTTCAGGACTTCAGTACCTTTCTCATGCCTGAGCTAATCGCCACCCGCTTGCTCTGTGGTTTCTGAACCGTCTTCAGTGTTGGAAATGTTCCCATGTTGGCTAGAAGGTGACATCTGACCCTCTCAGTTCTACCCTTTGGGCTCTGTGCTCTGTGTTCCAAAGTCAGGATGCGTCACATCTCTGCCCCCCACCAGGCCTGACACTGATGGGTGTTATCGGGCACCTTCCAG